ATATATGCATAAGATTATCAAAACGTTGCCTTCTTTTTATGCTTGTACTGTCTAGTTAAGACTTGGTTGGCATAAGCGTAAGGATAAACATAAGCGAAAAACTTTCAGGCAATCAGCAAGCACCATACTGCTTATGCCAACCATGTCCCTATTTAACATAACATCGACTGAGCACTTGTGCTCATGTTTATGTTGCAGCTGAGCCCACCTGCACATTGGCTTGTTATGTTTATGCCTATGCTTGTGTTGCAACCGAGTGCTGCCCTTGAAGCCTGCTTCACACTTCTAAGATAATTATTAGCACGAGGATGAAAAAACACGTACAAGGATGTTCACACCACTCTAAATTCTATGTTTTTCGGAATTCTTATTGTTAGTCAGAGGATACTCAAAACAAGGATTCTTTCCTTATTTTGAGAGTCAATTCCTTGAAATGTAAGGATCAAGATATCTGCTTTTAAGAATTTTATACTCTCCAATGAAAGTTCCTCAGTTTAAGAATACCACCATTAAAAATAAGATTTACATTCCTTGTTTTAAGAATTGACTTTGAATTCTCATTTTAAGGATATTTCCACTATTGAATAAATATCTCAGATCCTTGCTTTTAGCACGTATTCGTTCTATGCAGAAAGGTTCTTCTTCCAACTAGATTTATGATAAATCCTTGCCAAAATTTCAGAAATATCTGTGGAGTTGTGCTTGTCAAATTCCCAAGGAAATATAACTAAATATAATTTGAAAAACATTTTTACGTTGATTTTTCTTTTAACACACTCAATATCTGTGATTCTTCATGAAACAAGACCACAGTTTTGAGTGTTGCTAGTTTACCCTAAATATAAAGCATTAGGAATATCCTTGTTGCATCTAATTCACAAATATTTTTAATTTTAAATGAAAATCAGAGTGGTTGTCAAAATAAATCATATATTTATAACTTCCAGAAGAATAAGCATGGAATGTAAACTGCTACCATTTGTAATTTTTACTTCCAATCATGTGATTATTATACAAAAAATTACTGATCCAGAGTAAAGAAACTCAAACTAAATATAAACCACTTGTTGACAGAAGTAATTATAGTCATACACCAGCATGGATATTCATCCTTGTAAAGGGATTGTTGTTTTGACCGTCAACTTATTATTGTTTTAATCTTCAATATGATTCAAAAGAAAAGTTTCTGTATCAATTTCTTGAAGAATATGTCCTAGGTGTAAAGCCTCTACAATGAGCATTGAGGTACAGGCATACATGTAGCAAGATTTTTGACAAAGAGAAAGAGTAATCTTCAGTATGATTCAAAGGAAAGGCTACTATACCTTTTCCTTGAGGAATTTGTGTTTGTCATGAAGCCCCTATATACTGATTATTTTAGTATTGGTGAATCTGCATAAAGATTTTTATCGAATTGTTAAAATTTCAGCATATTAAGTTAACATGTAGCTGTGCCATTTCTTGAAGAGTTGGTGTTAGGTATAAAGCCATGTCACTTTGCTGTTAATTTGATACATCAAATGAAGTGAGGTGTAACTTAAAAGTCTTGCTTCAAAATAAAACTTGCTGCTGTGCAGGTATCTTAAGTTCAAAATAATGTAAAACATATTAAAGAAAGCACAATTTGGGTTTATTATGTCAGATTAAAAGTTTTTGTTGAGTTTGTAGTATGGCTTGGCTAACCTGTGTTACATGCACAAAATATTGATAGAAAGAACCACTTCCTGGAGTTAAGATCCTTGTCTCAAGGACATAGAGATAATGTATTATTTAACAATCTTTGAGAAGTAAGTGCTTTCTTTTGAGATCTTTACTTACTCATTTTGAAAAAAATAGGTCTTACTCTGAGAAACTTTAGTCACCTAA